TTGCCTAGCTTTGGGTGGAGTAAACTAAGACTAGAGATACACGGGTCGAGCTACTGCAAAATTTACCTGGTCTTTCAGATCTTCAATGCAGCAATTGGCTTCTTCATTGAGGCGTTCCACTCGAGAGAGGGTTAATTTGGTTGAGGAGAGCTCAGCCTTTACACGCGTTAGTTTATCAACCAGTGACTGAATCTCATCAGTCACTTCCATTGCGTTATCACAGCTATTACTTTACTTAGATATTTGTCATGAGACACGTAACGGTATTATCACTATTATGATATATTGATGTAAGTTTGTTATGTACAAAACACGTTTAGCCATAGTTATTATATGTACCTCCAGGTGGCGCAATATAGCAAGAAGACTTGTAGACTGGTACTCGCTCCCACCTCGATTACTCGATGGGTAACCCTAACCCTAACCCTAACCCTAACCCTAACCCTAACCCTAAGCCGATAGGTGAAACCGGGTACCAGTCTAGAAAACTTGAAAAAGCAGAGTGAACTTGAAAAATAACTTACATTACCTCCTTGTTAAGGACGCCAATAAATTTATGTCACTTTACTTATCACTATCACAGCGTATTATTATTTTATAATAAATTTTTCTAATCAAAATGTAAAAAATTGAATATGCCGTTTGGTGTAACCATAACTTCCCGTGAACCACTATGTCAGCCTCCATTATGCACGGATCATGATAATATGACACTTCCTTATCTAGATATTGTAACGTTTACGCGTGTCGTATCGTTTATCTCACAATTATTTCAAGTAACCAGTGGTTGGTATTTGTTTAAATCCACATGTTACCTACATGTGAATTGTGTAAACAGAAATTATCGCTGAAAGGGTCTATGAGTATGTTCTTCGGGGTACGGGTACACGGCCGAAGCCGAAGGATAGAGAACATGGGTCCCAATAAAACCAACGTGCCTAACCCTAACCCTAATTCTAACCCTGGCCCTAACGGCCGAAGGATAGAGAACATGGGTCCCAATAAAACCAATGTGCCTAACCCTAACCCTAATTCTAACTCTAACCCTAAGTCACAGGCACTTGGCCCGTTTCAATAATAAAATGATGGTTAATAAATACAACTTGTCAGTACTAGACCTAGTACCAGTAACAGTACCAGTAATACTAATACTAATAGTCTTAATGTTTGATTTGACCAAATAACTTCACTTCAATACCGTCCAATACACCGCTGCAACGCATAGTGCGCACGCCATTGTGCATGCACAAATACACAGTGAGCACTCTATATCACTGTGTATTTGTGCATGCACAATGGCGTGCGCGCTATGTGTTGCAGCGGTGTATTTGACGGTGTTGAAGTGAAGTTATTAGGGCTGTAACGATACACAAACCTCTTGATTCGATCCGTATCTCGATATTAGCCTCTCGATTTGATTCCTTCAATTCGATTCCAAAATATTGAAATGTTATCTTATTTTTTATATTTTTATTATTTTGCAATAAAAACTCTCAACCAACTATTACATTCTTTCTTTTTTCTCAATTTTATTTAACAAAATAACTTTAAGCGCATAATTAAACTCGGGGAAACTGCAGCCTAGACTGGTTCGCGCTCGACAAGCAGTGTAACGCGAGCAGTCACGTCTAACTGCAGCCCTGTAAATATATTAGCGATGTGCTGTAGCCGCTGATTAGCTGACTAGCGAGTCAGGACTATTGACCAATCAGAGCGGGCGTCTCATACACGCTTCGGCCGATGCACACAGTATGAAGTACTAGCGGGTTGGATCGGATCGAAAATACGGGAAAAAGTATTGAGGATTGGATTGAGGGAAGAGAATCGCGATTCGATTCGATTTCTGTGGATGGTTACAGCTCTATTACGAATGCTAGGGACAGAATAGAATGTTCTATAGCCCTGCGGCAACTGTACGCGGGCTATAGTACTAGAGCTAGTGTTTAGAGTCGCGTGCGACTCCCTGAAAATTCTGCCATACGAACTAGTTCATTCCGGAGCACGGCTCACGAAATTACTGTATTTTTTCAGCTAATGTCCAAAGAAAATTTGGAGATGTGCAACTGCATGAATCTTAAAAATAAGCACATGCATTATTGTTAATATCTTTAAATTTGAACCTCAGACTACGGACTCCCTCATTTGCTGCGGACTCCTCATTTTGCTGCGGACTCCTCTTTTTGAGGGTAGGGAGTCGTTGGACTCCTTGTTCAAAAGTTAATTTCTACCCTGTAGCGGCAATGGCAGCAGTTACGTATGAGCAGAAATGCACCAAGAACGACTGTAGTTGAGAATACCAGCACGAATCTATATCATGCTGAACGTGCATGCTTTCACGCACAGTGCTCTACAAATATATCAGAGACGATATTTGTAACCATGATATATATATAGTCGTGTGTTATATGATATATAAAATATATATATATATATATATAATATATAAATATATATATACATATATATATAATATATATAGTCTTATAGTTATACAAGAGTAGGCCTAGTTATGATTCATGC